AAATGTGTTTCTAGGAGAAAACGAAACAAAAAAACTCAATGCAAGATGTATGCTTACCTTTCTTGTTCCACCCAGTTGTTCTGTACAGATGAGGAGAACAATGATCAGTATTCTTGCCACAAAAAGTTTCACATAACAACATAAATTCTAATGACAGTTTCCTCATATACCTTCAGCACCATTATGGCTTTCAACTTTCTAGTGAGTTTCCCCAAAATCTCCAGCATGTTACTCCTCTTAGTCTGCAAACAAACAAATAGAGTGGAACTGTCAAAGTGTACAAAGACAAGCTGGTTTTCTTTGAATGCACAGGATTAGGAAAAATTCTGGAGTTTTTTAACTAAAGGAGAATTCCCGTGTCAAGGTAAATATATTATGTTACAAATTCCATCCTAGTTTATAAACTGGTATGTCAGGTTTAACCCTTTAACTCCCAGAAGTGATTAACATAAAACTTCTCCCTACAATATCCATACATTATTCAGCAAACAGGTAATGAGAACATTCAAAATTATCAGGTAGAAACTGCTATCTTAATCTAGCACCAAGTTCTCATAACTAATTTACAAGGAAATGTGTAGCAGCTACAAGGGAGAATTAACAATCAGATCTTGGGAGTTAAAGGGTTAACTCCACAGAGTGACAAGCATCTAATTTCTCCTTACAGTATCACTGCTAAATCAAATGTATGAATCAAGAGAATTAAGGAAAATGATCACCAACAAAAGTGGCTTGTGATTGCTACACAAATTTTCCTTGACAGAACCATAGAAAATGTATGTAGAACAGAGAGGAGAGTATGCACACCGATATTAAAGCATTGAGAGCTAAAAGAAGGGGACTTGTAGAAGAAAAACTTATCACATTTGTCCATCAACAACATCATACTTGTGAAAAAATACTTAGGGGCGGGTATAACGCAGTGTTTCATCTTGGCCAAGAGACTTATCAGATACTTTTCCAAAATTTCTAGAAACTCATTGAGCATCGCACTCAAAGTACCATTAGCAAATTCAAGATGCTAGCAGTCTGGCACTCAAATACAGAAGGATTCCCAGCTGCACATTCACTAGTTACAATTTAAAAAATAAAAGTTGTCAAATGATTGTGGAAAAATACTTCATGAAAGGTACGACACCATAATAAACAATTTGGGGAACACTTGCCAATGTCAAGACAGCCTTAGACATGTCAGAGTAGACAGATAAATTCACCTTGAGCAGTTATAAGTTGTACTTACTTCCATTTGCTTGCTGTATGGCTGATCCCACAAAGGGGTCACAACATGGTTTAACCTGGATAACAAAGACAGGACTGTTGTTGATATGTGCTAGCCAAACCGATTTTAAAAATTGCTGAGATGATGACCTCTATGGGGAGTAATCTTTACAATACACCAAGAGTTTCAGTAACAGCCCACAGCCAGCAAAATTTGCTGTATATGTCAATCAAAATTGCTGATTACTTTCACTGAATTTAATAGCCATACAGTGAAAGTTGAACTTCTATTACCTGCCTACCTGGCAGTATCAGCTGTTTACTTTAAAGGTTCACAAAATCCCTGATCTACTACATTAACTCATATAAGTACCACATAAAAGAATTAAAATATAAATATTCACTGGCCCAGAGTATCCAACACACCTGGAAACTTGATGTTTATTTAGGTAAAATGTCTAACACGTGACTTGGCTAAAACCTGTTAGCCAGCAATACTTTCTTTCTGCAGAACAGATGGTGTTTTCATTTCAAAATGACTGTATCTCCTTCCCCTCTTTCTTTACTCTTTAACTCCCAAGATCTGATTGTTAATTCTCCCCTCTAGCTGGTACACATTTTCTTTTAAATAAGTTATGAGAATTTGGTGTTAGATCAAGATAACAACTAATCTTTCTGATAAGTCTGAGTATTCTCATTACCTTTTGGCTGGATAATGTACAGATATTACAGGGATAAGTTACAAGAAAATCACTTCTGGGAGTTAATGGGTTAACCAAGCATGAGGTAGATGAAGAAAACTTTGATTCTGACCTGACAGAAATGGCTAGCTCTTCTCCTTCATCTTCATCAACTTTTATTCTCTTGGCATCTACGTTTGAACGCGCTGCATCTAAAGCATTTTCAAGAAACAAACATTACACAAAATGTAACTTGCCTTGGGAGAAAGGACTTCTTTTAGCTACTGAATCAAAATTTAATTACTACCAAAAAAACATTTCTTGGTAAAGGTCAAGAGTTGGAAGAAATTTTCACAATACAGTAGTTTGATAGTGTCTAACTTATAACTTGTAAAACTTATTCCAAGCCTAAATTTATGTTAATCAAGTATTATGACCAACTATTATGCAAAACCAATAACTAAAAATTTCAAAACAAAATATGTTCATCCAAACTTAGAGCAAACTAAAGACGCAATTCTGTATTAGGGGGCTAAAGGAATAAGCTTAGGCTTCAGCAGTATGCCACAAGCAGAGAAAAAGAAGAGAAGTAGCATTTGTCTAGTTCTTACCCTGAATCATCCTTTTTCTTGCCAATCCTTCTGCTCGCTGCAGAGCTAGAGGATCAGGAAGTGGCTGGGCTGGCTAAAAAAATAATTATGATTTATCAACATACACACTATTAGAGCCTTTGATCAAGCAAACCTTTTTCTAGTCTTACTGGCCAAAATGCCTACAGGAAAACAAAAGCATGTTTACAATTTTTTATTGCATTATTTTGATTCCAGGCCCAGTTAATCATTCCAAAGATATGTAATGTAGTAAGCTGTACAATATGTCAAGCATTATTGTGCCAAGAGTCCTTTTAATTCCTTTTTTTTGAAAGCTAAGCAGCAATTCTGATAAAAATTAGCTTGGAGCCTTGAAATTAAACCGAAACGACACTCAGTCACTGGCCTTAATACATTCAGCTGTGAGAAGCTTGCAGTTATAAGGATTTGTTTAGTTTTTTTGAGCATAATAGATGCAGCATGTCAGGGCAACAATATTACTGTCTAATACCTTAGCAGAAAGCACTCTCCCCTTCCACTTGTGTCCTGATAATGATCTGATGGCCAGCTGTGATCAAGCAAGAGTAAATATTTTCTTCATAACACAATAAAAAAATTGTTTTTTATAACTATCTGTTGGTCTCAGCAATGCAATAGAGCCATGATACCTTGGTATGGATCTGAACCTTAGAATTGAGGATCCTCAATCAACTAAGTACTCTGATATAATAAGGCACCATTTCTTAACTCAAGTGGTTATTTATTCATCTTACAAAAAAGTGATGAATATAAAAAAATTTTTGGAAACAACTACCCATGCCCTAACCTGTATTATAACATAGCTAGTAAATTTGTCTAATCAAATTCAATTACGCGAGCATGCTTCATATTCCTATTGTGCATGCTCATGATGCCAGCAAACAAATCCCTCAAGAAAAAAAATTTCCCATCGAGTTGAAAATGTTATAAAACAATTTTTTTATACATCATCTGTGTGTTCATCAAGATATGAAGCACTTGGGAAGTTTGGAGAGCACTCAAGAAGCTAGAGTTGCTCTCGGCTATGCCTTGCACAACTCTTACGCATCTTTCATGCTCTCCAAACTTCCCGTGTGCTTCATATCTCGATGAACGCATGCTGACGTATGAACCAATTGTTTAATTTGCCATAGTCTCTACCTTTTTGATCTCAAAGAAATTCTGATTCAACCTACCCTCCTTTCCTCTTCATTCCTAAGAGGAATATGAAAAGTAAATGTAAGAAATTTTGATCATGTACTACTTAAATTATATTAATTTTAATTGGGCATGTCTTTGCTTTATCATGCATTAGGTTTAAGTAGGGGTTTGCACATCTCGTACAATTTAAACAACAAAAGAAATGTTTTCAAAAGTATCATACCACTTAGATGTTTGTTAACTGCAAATACAAATTTTAAAAGCATATTGTTCAATGATTGTATATACCTAGTAAAAAGTTGCATGTGTATGTAACAGTGTACAGTCGAACCTTGATTATCTGGACCTCGATTATCCAGACTATTTGATTATCCGGACTTTTTTCTCTGGTCCCAATTTTTTCATGAATATTAAGTAGTTGTGATCTTGAAAACTCAAGGTAGCAAAAAGCCCAATAATCCTTTCAAAAGACTGTTGAAACAGTGTATTATCCCGTGCGCTTTTCAAAATTTGAAAGTGTGACAAGACAACAGTGAGTCAACTTCACAGCCCAAATTCAGAGAGGATAATATCTCTGAGTCCATGGTCAAAATGCTGGAACATGTACAGCAACTTGACAATGAGGAAATGCCTAATGCTTGCAATGTGGAAGACTGGCTTAATCTGGAAAATGAGCTCCTGACTTTGCCACAAATGTCTGATGAAGAGATTTTAGCCACTGTTGTCAGAGATTTGACGGAAAGCCAAAGTGTATGTAGCGATGAGGAAGGTGAAGGTGAGGACGAGAAACCAGTATTGACTGAAGAGGCTGCGCAATGTTTCAAAAAATGCTTGTCATGGATGGAATCACAGAATGATATTGACCTTTTGCAGTTAATGCAGCTAAGATGAATGATGGACTTTGCAATGCGATCAAGCTATAAGTCTTTGAAGCAAACAAACATGCTTGAACATTTTAGACCTTTGTAAATACCTGAACTGAAAGTTTTTATTTGTAAATACATACAGGCTGTGTAGATTTCACAACTAAAAAATGATGTTCTCTTTGCTGTATACCTTTTGTTTACATTTCTATCTCATTAATATTCATATTTTCGATTATCCGGACTATTTACCAAGGTCCCAACAAGTCTGGATAATCAAGGCTCGACTGTTTTAGGAAAACTGGCTTGAGGGGTGATTGAAACAAACACTTCTACATGTAGCTCACAGTCACATACATGCTTATGAGCATATATGCTCAGTTCATATGCATTAAGGTTAAATATTTAAGCACTTATGCCTAAATTTATATGCCTTTCATGTACATATTTCCAAGCAGCAACATATCTTACAATTTCAAGTATTAAGCAGCTGCCATGCACTGTACCTGAAGGTGACATAGGCGTGATTTGCTCCTGGGGGTAGTTTCACTTTTACTGGTCTTACATTGAGTCTGTTTGCAATCATCTTCTTGAATTGCTGGGGAATACAAGAGTGACACAAAAACAGTATAAAGTAATCAGTTATAAATCAAAAATATACTTCTGAATCTTTTACAGACAGGTTGAAGCTGGATGGTTGAAATGGGCAGCTGCTATATTAAATTTCATACTGTTCTTATCACTGTGTTTGAATAATTAAAAGGATTGAGAAAGTTGGTTTCTTTTGTCAACACATATATGAAAAGCTGAAGTATGATCTGAATCGCAGCATAGTTTCCAAGCTCTGTTTTGAGCTAAACAGGTAAAGGTTATTTCTTCGCTGGTTAGAGTTTCAACCGATCAGAAACTGATTGCAAGATGAGCAAATATCTTGGAAATGACTCATCCACAATTTGGAAATACTTGGATATTTTTTTAATACCACAGCACAGGTTTGTTTGATTAAAAAAACTGAAAATCTATAAACCTCTATAGCTTGTATGGTTTTTTTTACCCATTTCAAGTCATGTGATAATACTTTAGAGAACTGTTCCTTTTAAATTTCCTCTTATTCACCTGCATATGTTTGCGCAAGTTACAAAAGATAACACTGGGAATTTCCTTGATACCTGAAATGGGTAAACAAAACAGACAAGCTGAGGAAGTCTATGTGTTGGATCAGTCCAGGGTTGTTAAAATAAGTCAGCAACCAATGTATTTCACCATCTTCTCTGGAAAATGCAGGGTTTTCAAAAGGCATTTTAGTAGGTGGCAAAACTTATCCTAAAAAATTTCATAGAAACAGTCAGAGGATAAGGACTTATCTTTTTGTCTTAAAATAAGTAAAGATTGTTCTTACCTTGAGAAAGCTACATCAATTTAAGCACAAAACTCCTAAACCTTAAATTTGTTTGAAAAATCTCACAAGATCATGTACTAATACGAAACCTTTTTACATAGAGGAATATTCAGTGTAAGGAGCTCTATTGTCTCACAATGAAATTTTCACAATAACACTTAAGGATAAGAATGATTTCCAGACAGCCCCATACTTAAGTGTGCATATTAACTAGGTGTCAATAGTGAAAACAATAGATTGCCGTCGGGACTAACACTTTGTTCTAGAACAGTAAGGGCAGAATTCATACCCTTAGGATATGCTAGGGTGTTAAGACTGGATGGTTAGCCTGTGGTTACGTTACTAAGTTACATTACTCAACTGTACACTTGCAGGCAAAAAAACAACAACAACCAAAAAAAAAACAAAACAAAAGATTTCATATCCCACGCTGCATTCTATCGTAAGGAAGACTAACTTTCTTGGTCATAAACCTTTTCCCTATATTATTATTCCTTTAATTCAACGTTACGTTTAATCCATGTTGCTTGATCAACACGAAACTCCTTCTTGTACCTGGTTTCAAACTATGAAATGCTGATTGAAGCCTTAGACCGTTCGTTATCATTTGCATGCTTAAGAGACCTTAATCAGGTTGATAGGTAAGAGATAAGAAAGTAACTTACCTTATAACCACATTTCTTGGGAAGATTTTGAAGTTCTATCTTATAAATCTCGGAGGTAAATTCATCTCGCTTAGTGTAAAAATAAGGATCCGATTCTGCCTCTTCTTCGTCTGGCTCATCGTTTATTGCGCCATCCTCATCTTCTTTGTCTAGACCCTCGTGGTCCACCTCGCCATCTTCCTGCTCGGGTACATTTTCGCGTTTTTCCATATTTTCAATCACGTCAACTCCATCGACAGGCGTTGATTCAGCTGCAGCACTACCTGACAGTGACGAATCAACTGCGTTATCGTGGCTGACCCCTGCGTTATCCACGAATGATGCTGTGTCTGTCATTGCATCACTGCACCTCGTGAACTCAGTTGCTGTTGTCACATCAGAATTCCATCCACTTGCTTCGGTTTGCAGTTTTGCGAATTGGAAAAAAGGTGGAAATCCGGGAATAGGCGATGAGACGACTTTGCCAACACTTGATGTTTCCTCAGGAAGCAGACTGGACTGCTCATTGGTGGATGAACCCTCTCCATTTGCAAGATCTGTTTCCTCGTCCGCCATTTCCAGATGATTGTGGTCACATGTCCGTATTTTTACATAACATCAGTAATTTCATGCACGAGCTGGAAATCTGACCCGGCCAATACGTAAGCTCGATTCACAAATATTGTCTTATCACCGATACAAATATTTAACACGGCCCAAATACATCTAAATATGAACAACAACGCTGTAATGCGAACAACAGAAACTGGAAGTTGAGGACTGAGGCGATCGTTTTGCAATCTCTCATTCATACAAGAAGGGATTGGGAACGAGGAAAAGGAAGAAACAAAAACTTTGCAAACTACGGTTCTCCGGAACATTCCTGGAGTCTCTGATACTGTAAATTCTTTTTTCTTTTTTTTTTTCTAAAATCTTTTTTGTAATCAGGGAGAGAAAGCTATGGTTTGATTTTTGAAAACGCTCATTTGTAATCTTAACCGGGCACATCCCTTCTCTTTTTAGAGCACAGATTAAATTTTAAAACATACACGGTTTTAGTCCACAGCCTTTGAGAACTTTTCTCACCGACTCAACGCCTTGGCAGCATCAATTTATAGCCCGAAGCACTACTGCTTCAAAGGCGAAAAAAAAAAGTTCCAAAATGATAAATATTAAAAAAGAAAAAAAGCAGAGCCATTTGCTTCTGTAAATTTATGACCAGGACCCCTATACTCCTTACCCTCCCTCCACTCCCCCAACCCACCCCACCTCTGGGTTTTTCCGGGAAACCTTGGAGTTTCTGAGAAAAACAACCTATTGTCTTCAATGGGAAACAATTATATTAAGTGTTTTAGCTATGTATGGTCAAAACAGTTTTTAAACGCAGGCACCGTGTCAAATGTGATTGTTATCGTCCGCGAAAAATCAGTCAACAAGGGAGTTGTTCAACTTAAAAAGAGTTTTAGGTGGAATTAGTTGAGGAAGCGAAAAAGATGCTTAAAACTGTTCTGTGGTCTCTCCTTGTGGCTTTATTTAACATTGCAGTAGAAACAGAGGCGAGGACTGAAGGTAGGTTCAGACAATAGTGCTTTACAACATGATTTCTTTCCAAAGTTTTAACACAAAATGTTCCAAATGATTTTTTGATTACTGCATCCTCTGTTGCGAGATTTTACATTAGTAGACGAATCCTGACGTAAAAACTGAGACAGCCGCTACATTTAGCAAGGTTCTTAAGCTACGTGAAATATCTACAACAGCACAGCCGATTATGATCAATAGCTGAAACCGACCCTTTCAGAACCATGAGCATATCATCTCAATTTGAAAAAGTCGTTGTTATTTTTTCTCTCGCGTAGTATCCCACTCAATTTCTTATAAGTTCAGAAGGAAAATGTCTCGTAGCTGCCGCCTTATAGTTCTGCATTATCACTCAGCACATGGCTGTTTGAATTATTGTCTCGAAATGTACACCGAAATGCTGACTCACTGATGACTAAAGTTGTCGACTAAGCATGAATTAAGCCGCCTTGAAGAAATCATCGGCAAAACAGGGCTGTTTGGCAAAACCGCTTCCATCACGGAAGAATGAAAAGTACTAGAATAAAAATAGCAACCAACGCAACATCGAAAACAAAGAGAAAAGGGGGTGAGTTTATGAGAAAGAGTGGTGCTGCAGAGGTTGAGGGTATAACAAGATAATTTCAGTGGTTTATCAATTGATTGAAAATGTATAAAGGGGTAAGTTTCTAAAGAAACTGTGGTGCTGCGTCGGTGGGAGAGTATAGCAGGTAATTTAGTGTTAACAACTGGGTTGAAAACGCAAATTTAGCCACCGTAAAGGGTAAAAAAGCTGACGTTTCGAGCGTTAGCGCTCTGACAACCCAGTTGTTAACACTAAATTACCTGATTGAAAATGTAGTCAACCATCGTAAAGAGTTCGGACTTGAGCCGAGAAATAGGCCCATAAAACGCGAAAAAGGACTAGGCTAATATCCAGCAATCTTGACCGAACAAGCTTAGTCAACAAAGAATTTATAATGTCTCGTTTGTTTGTTTTTTTCAAGCCTCCATGTCATGCAATATTTTTGTTCTTACGGGGATCAAAGCGGGCAGTCTGCAGCGGGCAAGATGGGAATTAATGAAACTGTTTTTATTATCGGCTATACACTCTACGAGGGTTGAATCATGATGAAAAATCAGAATCATACTTTATCCTTTCCCGAAGTCGTTTCAAACCAAACCTCAAATGTTAATGAAGTCAAGATTGATCATGCACTGAATGACGGCACGCCCTCCATAGTCTGATCGATGTCTCGCCCGAGTGCTTTTCTACCTTTAACTAGCCAATCATAGGATGATATTCTATCAGGATTATTTTAATTTCCGAAAGATCAACCGCCCGTCACTTAAATGTCAGAGTAGTTTCTCTGAACTGTTTTCATCAAGGTAAAAATAGAGATAACTGTCTAAAATCGTTAAAAAAAAACCTTCAACTCTGTTCTAGAATCCCACAAATAAATGCTGTTTATAGTCTGACTGCAAATCAATTTGAACCTACATGTGATTTGGGCTAATTAAATAATCTCCTCTTGCAGGTCTCGTCAATGTGGATATAACAGTGAGCACAAGCAAACTGAAGGAAACCAAAGAGTTCTACACAAAGTACTTGAAATTTAAAGTTATGAAGGAAACGTCAGGATTTCTCTCGCTCTTACCCGGGCCAGGTGACTTGCTATGCTTTGCACACGTTTTTGTAGAAACAAAAGTGACAAGCAGTCTATGAAGCGAGTTTTTCACGACAGTTTCTTTTGTTCTGACCAGCTGTTGTAACTTGTTTTTTTTTGGTTTTGCGAAACTCAATCGAAATGGGCCAATTTTTTCTCTTGTTCTGACCAGCTGTTGTGACTTGTGACTTGTGCGAAACTCAATCGAAATGGGCTCAAATTAGAATTGGCAACGACCCATAAAGATTAGTTTGCGCCGGAGAAAACGCGAAAATGAAACATCAAGGAGTAACGTGGAGGAATCGAGCCACTATATCAATGTCTGAACATGAAAAATTTCAGTTAAAATGTGGTTCGATTTTTCCTTCTCTCAGCTTTCAGGGAGTTATAAATTCAAAATAATAAAAAGTTCTGCAAACAAAAGTAACTCTTTTAAACCTCAAAACGACTGAGCCTAGGATTAAAATTCTGATGGGACGAGGACACGATTCCGTGACTTATCGTGAAGAACTCATTTATAATGGAAATTTTTCGGAGTAACTGAACAAACTGAACAGCAAGTCATTCAGTATCACGAAAATACAAGATCGAAACGTGTATAGAAGAGCCAACGTAAAAGCCAATTGCCAAAATCTTTTTTAACAGAAGTTATGTTCAAAATTTTTAACCGAAAATGAATGTCCAACATTCAACTTTGATCTAAAATTGGGCTGATTTATCTCTACTTTTGTTTACGGTACATTGCAGTTGTATCATTACCATCGAAGGTGGCCCTTGAAAACAATTTGATATTGAAGATGGTTCTGTAACATGAAGTTCATATCTAAAGCTTTAACATAGTAATGTCTATTATGCAATTTCAATGGCCTGTCGAAAGGGAAAGGGATTACTTTGATTATACCTAACTGTGCTTTGTGATTGGTCGAGAAAACTCATGCTACTTTTCCAACCAATCAGATGCAAAAGTAAAACCGATCACGACTTGATCACTCGCGTTTTCCCGCGCTTTGCGCAGTTTGGTGGCTTTTACTTTTAGTTCTCATTGGCTCTTAAATAAAGGTATTTTTCTGCGTTCAGATTGGCCGTTGTGATAACTTTGGTTTTTGGTTTTACGACACTTAATCGAAAAGTACTCTATTTGCACGACCGTAATTTTGAAGGTATATAGATCAAAAACAGTCTCTAGCTTGCTTTGTTGTTGGTACTTTTCAGGCTGATTATGTGTAATCCGCGTTTTTATGCGTAAACCTTGAGTAGTTCTCGCAACAGAAGCCGAGTTGACACCTCGTTCAAGTTAACTTGATTTGTCCTTCCGACTTTTTAATAGGTGTTGCCTTTCTTGATTTCGTCGTGGAGGGTGCAGAACACGCATGCGCCAGACCTCAGTTGGCAAGGAATTTTCCTGGGAAAGGCATGTTTCTTACTTATAATCTGGGAGATGTGGATGCAGCTTGTGAGGAGTTCAACAAATCTGGATATCCGCTGGCCATGCCAATAAAAACTGAGCCTTGGTTTGAACGTCATTGTTACGTCATTGATCCAAACGGGATACCGCTGAACCTAGCTCATTGGAATGACACTCCAGCTGAACCAAAAGGTAAAATATTACTTAGGGGGAACTCTGCCTTTAGTAAAACACAAAGCTAATCAAAAGATTTCTCTCGAGACTGCCACGCTTTGCAGGAGAAGTTTGAGCAGCTTAAGTCTAAAGCGTTTTCGTTTGCATTTAAAATGAAAAAAGGGCCTAAATTACAAAACTGGAAAAAAGAAAAACAGAAAAAAGAACGAGAACAAGCACACAGATGGGACAACAACAAAAGAAAAAAAACAGACAAACAAACAAAAAATTAAACAAATTAAATGGATCAACGAGAAGCACAAACACGAGAAAAATTTTCATTTTGTTATAATGAAGTCTACCTATATTATTTAAGGACTAAAAGGACCTTCAGGGCAGAGTTTGCATTACCAACTGTTGTTATTGTGGAGAGAGAAGTTGGAGATTCAATGCTGTAACGTATTTGCGTTCGTGTATGCAATTTAGGGCTACAAGGCGTTTGATTTCCACCAATTCGCTCTGACGAAGGGCTAACGCTCGAAACGGCTGCTTTAAAACTATTTACGGAGGCCAATTTACGTCATTAACTCAGTTGATAAAACTTAATTGCCCTGATTTCCATTTAGTCGATTAATCATGTAGGCTGATAAGCGTAAAAAAAGTGCAAGAATTAGAAGGATGAAGATATCGACTTTGAATTTAAGTGCAACTGATTTCTATTCTCTGAAAAGAGCTATTGTTGTTTAAATTAGTCTGGATTACATTGGGCTGGCTCACGACGCCATGAAATT